ATCGCCTGAGCTCATGAGTTCGAGGCCAGCCTCTACAATAGCCGGGTGTTGTGGCGAGTGCCTGTAGTCCCAGCTACTCAGGAGGCTGAGGCAAGAGAATCTCTGGACCCCAGGAGTCTGAGGTTGCTGTAAGCTATGACACCACAGCACTCTACTGGGGGCAACAAAGTGAGACTGTCTCAAAATAAATAAATAAATAAAAATTTGGGGAGTAGAGAATGTTGGGATTCTTTGATCTACTCTTAACTCTTCCTGTATAGCGGTTCTGGAAATTGGTAAGAAAGCACAAAGTAAACCTAGATTAGCGGATCCTGCTCAGCACCAGGATAACATTAACCTGCAGGTTCGTGTGACTGTCTTTTTAGATTCAGCTCATTACTTTCAGAAAGGTACATAGTTATACTTTCCCCTGGATTTTTAGAACAGTAATTGTGGCATTTATATACTCTTCATTTTGTTTATTTGTACAGGGCATTATGTGACACAAAGAACTGTGGGAGGCTTTCAAAGGATCAATTTGCCTTGGCTTTTCACTTAATCAATCAAAAGTTAATAAAGGGAATTGATCCTCCTCACATTCTTACTCCTGAGATGATTCCACCGTCAGACAGGGCCAGTTTACAAAAGGTAAGACAACTTAAAAGAAAAACTGAATTATTAATTTCAAAGACACAAGTGCTATGTCAAATTACAGATGATGTGAACAGATTAGTAGAGAAAATGTATCTGGATAAGAGCAGGGGAGTGTGCTGTTTGTGGTTTAGTTTGTGCCTATAAATACACTGGAGTGCCTTATGTAACATCCTTGGCCTGCAGTTTGTTTATCCCACCATTCAGTAAACATGACAATTGTATTTTCCAACCTTAAAATTTGAAAAAATATGTCCTTTTTCCTTTCTGGATTTGTGAATCAATTTTTATGAATAGATTACAAAATTTAAATGAAAGCTATAGGATTATTGTTCGGTTTGATGATTCACTCTTATAGAAAATAATACAAATTTGAAGACAAAATCTAGGAAATGGTGATTGCTAGGTATAAAGTTTACATCAAAAAAGCCTCTAAGAAAAAATGTTATGTTGAGGATAACTCTGTAGTTTTTGCCATAGAAACCCTTCATTTCTAAGTGTTAAGCTGAACTCCATCACATCCAAACAGTTAGAAGCACCTTTTAGCTCCTTTTGGTTTTGGATAGCAGTAGGAATTTTTCAGAACTACTTTGTTTTAGTCATGTTGTACTTTGATTTTTCTTATCTAAAAACCCTTCCTAGTACAGAAGTGCACACGAACTTTATGGGCACCTTATATAGTGCATTTACAATATCCAGACCTTTAATATACCTTATTTTTGAATTTCTTTGTGGAGATGGGGTCTTGCTACATTGCCTGGGCTGATCTCAAATTCTTGGCGTCAGGCTATCTTCCTGCTCTGGCCTCCCAAGCGTAAGCTACCGTGTCTAACCTGTTGTACCTTTCAAAGACTTACATACTGTATGATTATTTGCCTTTAAAAATAAATAAATGCCTTTTTGGTTTCCACAACAAAATAAGAAAAAGTAGCCGGGCATGGTGGTAAGCGCCTATAGTCCTAGCTGCTGGGGAGGCTGAGGTAGGAGGGTTACTTGAGCCCAGGGGTTGTTTAAGGTTGTGGTGAGCTATGCCACTGCAATCCAGCCTGGGTGACAGAGTGTAAACCTAGTCTCTAAAAATAAATAAATAAGAAATACTTTGTATTTTAAGTCTCTTGTGGCCTGTTAAGTAACTATTGTGATTCTTCACAGTTGTATATACGATAATAGGAGTTGTCAAATGGTTGGTGTGAGGAGAGTTCTCTTTAAATTATTAATAGAGTATTTTGGTTTTTCTTTAATTTTGTCATATAAGTTTTTTTAAAATCCCATTTTAACAAACCTAAAAGTTAAAATGGATTTTTTTCCCTAAGTAAACTAAGTGAAATTTATAGCCACCAGGTACAGGAGTTACTTATAGGACTTTTTATCGTTATTTTTAGTAAAATTATTATTTGGTTTTATGTTTTGTATGGGGTTATTTTTGAGGGAGGAGAGCATTTTGTGAATTTTTTGAGATTCCTTGTGATATATGACATAAGTTCTGTAAGTTGTGGAGAAGTTGTGAAGTGGTGCCACTCAGAAAGAAAGATTGCAGAATTCATGTTTTTACCTTTTCCTTCACAACTATACAATTTATGGTTATATCTCACGTCTCAGTTATGGAATACTGTGCTGTTTCTTTCTTTCACCTATGCAATTTTATTTTTTCTTGCCTTCTTCTTATATAACCTGCTCAGTCTTCTACCAACACAAATTACAGATATGACACATTTCTGAAGTAAATTATGTTTATTTAAGTACCTAAGATATTAGTAATTCCATCTGTTATACAGAATTTTTAATTTAGTAGATTTGTGTGCAGTTCATTCACTAAAGCTTGGAAGGCTGACGATTAACTTCACAAACTTGTGTTAGAAAAAGTGCAGCATACCTCATTACTGGATATCACTGTGGTCACCTGTGAAGTGCTTCCCTTGGAAAGCTGTGCACCCATGCCAGGCTTAGTTAATTCTTTTCTTTCTTTTTTTTTTTGAGACTGAGCCTTACTTTGTCACCCTGTAGAATGCTATGGCGTTGTAGCTCAGAACAACCTCAAACTCCTGGACTCAAATGATCCTTCTTGCCTTAGCCTCTCAAGTAGCTGGGATTACTGGCACTTGCCACAACACCCAACTGTTTTTCTTTTCTTCTTATTTTACTTTTTTAGACACAGGGTCTCGCTCTTGGTCAGGCTGGTGTCCAACTCCTGAGCTCAGGCAGTCTATCCGCCTTGGCCTCCCAGATGCTGGGATTCCAGGCGTGAGCCACCATGCGTAGCTTTTAGTCCATTCTTCAGTGTCATTTTGGAACTCTCTTTCTGGAATGATCATCAGAGCTGTCATTGAATGGCACTCAAAAATACAGAACAATAATGAATGCCACTCGGCAAGACATTGCCACACACCGACACAAACACAGCTAGGACACGCTGACATTCCAAGGTTATGAAGCCTTGTTTGTACAGAGCTGCCAACATAATGGTGGCAAGTTCATGAACTTACTTGTCAGATGACAGCTCTCACAATCATTCCAGAAGGAGTTCCAAAATTGCTCTGATGGCTGGAGTAGGCACTGGGGTGGGTGCATAGCTTCTCAAGGGGAGTACTTTGAAGGTGACCATAGTGATATTCAGCAATGAGATATGTAGCATAAGTTCATGAACTTAATTGTCAGGCCTCACAGACACCTTTGCTTGTGTCAGATATCAGCATTATGCATTGAAATGGGATTTTATCACTGTTGTCTTATCTATTAACCAAAAATTTTAACCTTAAAAATTAAAATTTGCATTATCTTTCAAATAATCTCCTTTGTTTTTATAACGTAAATTTTTCAGTCCTGCATCTTTTGCAGCTTTGACTAATCCTTTTTGAATGTTGCTTTCCTCTCTGTGTTTTTTCTAGTTTGGACTATTTTTTCCATTCTGCTGCACTCTGCTTTTCGCCTTTCTTGTACTGTCAGTTTCTTAACTCTACTCTCTCTCAAGGTTAGAGCTTTATTTTATGCCTTTTTTTAGCTTAATAGTTTTTGGTTTATAAGATGCGTTTTGAAGTTAGAGGGTTTTTTTATTCAGCAAAGTTGATGCAGAGGAAATACCTAAGCAGCCTGCTTTTGTCACATGTCACTTGGTCCTTGTGTGCATTTTAGCCTGCCTTCCCTGGCCTCTCTGATCCACTCCAAATAACCAAAGTGGAATTTTTATGTAATGCACAGAATAGGGTAAGAGAAAATATTTTGAAAGAAGGGGAGATGTTACATTTTTCTTTGTATGCCCTTCATATATTTCATGTAATATGAGCTGTACTATTTCCATGCTTCCTCATTGCATGCCATTTTGGGGTTATCTGGGGTATCATCTTCTAACTTGTTCGAGGTTAAATAATTTGTCTCACTGTCTTCTTATTTGATATTTTTAATGGCAAAAACTATCAAATGTGAATAATTTTTTAAAATTAGAATGATAAAAGAGATGTGAAAACCATGGGTTTCTTGGTATACTTGCACCTCTGAAAGCAAATTTCTCAGTAGCATTTATGTAATATAAGTTATTCTTGGTGATGAAAGTGAGACCAGTGTTAATTTTTCATTTTGTTCACCTGTTGAGCTGTCTGGCCAGGCTTAGCTCATAGATCAAATTTAGACAAAGTTAAAATTCTAGTAAATAACTGTCACATGCAGAAATTCACGTTAAATTTTCTAAATTAATTTAGCATTGATAGGAGTCTGTATCAGTCAGTGGACCATAGTACTTGTAAAGCAATTGAGGTATATTTGACAAATATCTGTAATTAATACAAAATTCAGATTAGCATTAATCGAATCCTCATAGTTAAGTTTTGGTATTGATAGTCAACACAAAACATCTAAGTCTTTAAAGTAAAGTGTGGAAAAAGGAAGTATAGAAGAAATTACTTGATAAATGTTATTGATATACCTGTTTATCAAATTTACTTTTAGGGTAATAGTTTCATTTACTTGTTTTCTCAGCTCTAAAATGGGGTTAATAATAATATCTGCCTTACCCACATCCACTTTTCAGATTAGTTTTGAGAATTAACCAATGGATTTGAAAGTGCTTAGTGAATTGTAAACATGTATACAAATATTAGGAGATGGGATATTGTGAGTTTTTAGGTTCTTCTGTTAGTGATAAACATTAATTTTATAACAACATGGGTATTTATTTATTTATTTTTTTAGAGACAGAGTCTTACTTTATCACCCTCGGTAGAGTGCTGTGGTGTCACATTCACAGCAACCTCCAACTCCTGGGCTTAGGTGATTCTCTTGCCTCAGCCTCCCAAGTAGCTGGGACTATAGGCACCCACCACAATGCCTGGCTATTCTTTTGTTGCAGTTTGACTGGGGCTGGGTTTGAACCCACCACTCTCGATATGGCACCCTATTCACTGAGCCACAGGCGCTGCCCAACAACATAAGTATTAATACACATACTAAGTTATATATTCTAACAATAAGGACATTAATATATCTTTATATGTTCAGGCCTCACTTTTAACATTTCCCAGTCATGATTCTGTTATTTGCAAATGTGGTTTTAGCATTGGTTATAGGTCAAGTATTTGAAGGAGCAGTTATCTTTTTTGCATTTAGTTCAGCCAGAGATACATGAGGCATCGACGATAGTCACAAAAGAGATTGAACCAAGGCAGAAGCAACTCATTGGGAAGCCTCATCTTTTTTTGTTTGTTTTTGAGAAAGAGTCTCACTTTGTCACCCTGAATAGATTGCAGTGGAGTCACTGCTCAAAGCAACCTCAAACTCTTGGATTCAAGCCGTTCTCTTACCTCAGCCTCCCAAGTAGCTGGGACTACAGGCACCCACCACAAAACCCGTTTATTTATTTATTTTTTTTAAGAGATGGGTCTTGTTCTTGTTCAGGCTGTTCTCCTGAGCTAGAGCAATCTGCCTGCTTCAGCCTCCCAAGAGTTTCTAGGTTTACAGGTGGGTGCAGCCTGAAGGCCACATCTTTTAAGAGCATATTCACTTGAGGTGGTTATCATAACAATAACTTACATTTATAAAATATCATAAAGCTTGTAGAGTGACTTCACATAGTATTATCTCATTTCATTTATAAAGTGGGCAAGGCAGAGATTATTTCCCTATTTCACAGGAGGTGGAGGTCATACAGCTTCTAAAATAGCAGGGCCTAGAATAAACTCAACTAGAATTTCTAACTGCAAGGTACCATTCTGAGGCCAATTTTGGTACCTTAATTATTGAAAGGTAATCATATGTAAAGAATGTCTTAAAGAAGACAGTTTTATATATTAACATTTATTATAGAATATGTCCGAGCAGTTGGCTTTAGAGTAGACACTAAAAATATTTAACAAAAGTAAATATTTGTTAAGTGAATAAAATTACCCTCCATTATAATTCTGAAATGCAACAAAAATTGGTGTATTTACTCTGCGCCACAGTGATACAAATGCCAATAAATCACCATCCGTTTGCCCAAGAAATTTATACATCAGTGGAGGAATTAGTTTATATATCTGATACTTGTTTTACTGAAAGTTTCTGAACAGGCCAGGATCAAGTGACAAAGACATGGGGACCAGATGTGGGGATGGGGTGCATATTAAAGAATAACAACTTTTAGATAATTCAAGGAAAATGTCTTGGTATATAACTAAGTATATAATTATAATTATACTTGATACAGTTTTCTTAATTAAAAGCATCAGTATGGTAAACTATGCAATACCTTGTATTTATGTTGGGGTTTAACATTTTTAATGTTATGCTATATATTACATAATTTTATAGTAATAATGTATAATTATGAACTTTTTATTTTTAGAACATCGTAGGATCAAGTCCTGTTGCAGATTTCTCTGCTATTAAGGAGCTAGATACCCTTAACAATGAGATAGTTGATTTACAGAGGTATGTAAAGTGAAATAAAGCCTCATACACATACATACATTCATCCTTCTGTTTATAATGTATATTTTGGTAAATGCTACTTTATTTGGTTAAGTATGGTAGTTCTATTTGAATGGAGTCATTGTATTTGATTCCATCAAGTATAGGGCAACCTTTAATTACAGGATGTGCTATTTTCTTCTGTACCATTGAAAAAAGAAAAATCATTGTCAAGTAATCACTGACATGCCATTAACTATAAGGTACTGTTTGATTTCAGATTGTGAAATATGTGAAAAAAAATGTGTATCTTACTATGAATGAAAAGTAGTTTTTCTCCAACCTTAGATATTTATGTATATTTATTTTTGAGACAAAGTCTCACTATGTTGCTCTCAGTAGGATGCCATGGCATCACAGCTCACGGCAACCTCCAACTCTTGGGCTTAAGCGATTCTCTTGCGTCAGCCTCCCAAGTAGCTGGGACTACAGGCGCCTGCCACAACACCCCAGCTATCTTTTATTGTAGTTGTCATTGTTGTTTAGCTGGCCCAGGCTGGGTTCAAACCCACCAGCTTGGGTGTATGTGGCCAGCACCCTATCCCCTGAGCTACGGGCAGTGCCCATCAACCTTAGATGTTTAGATAACATAGTAGGGAAACATTTTTATACAACGCATTTGACAGAAGGATTATTAAATGCAGACATGCAAGAGCTTTCATAATGTATTTGATCAGCAGAAAAACCTTGTCAGTTGAGATAGATGGTGGTGTTCCTATTTTACAGGTAAGGAAGGTAAAGCATTTGAGGATGATTTTGCCCAAAGACATACTTGATAGCTATAGGGTCAACACCTGATCTCAGGACTGCTTGATTCTAAGTTGAATCTTCTTTCTTATATGTAAATACTGTATAGAACAGACTCAAATACAATTAGATTTGAATCTGAGTACAGCAGGGATTATTGATATTTCCTGAATTCCCTGCTCACTATAAACTTTATGGCCACACTGATTGTAAAAATAACTTTCTTTAAATTGCTTTTTAAGTTGTGAGATCATTTTTCCATCTACAGAACCATAATTTAAATACTACTTGGTATTAATACCACCTCTTGCCCACCACCAAAACTTTTTTTTTTTTTGAAGCAGGGTCTCACTGTTGCCCAGGGCAGAGTTCAGTGGCATCATCATAGCTCACTGCAATTTCAGACTCCTGTACTAAGTGACCCTTCTGCCTTAGCCTCCTGGGTAGCTGGGGTTTTTACAAGTGTGTGCCGCCATAGCTCGCTAATTTTTTAATTTTTGTAGAGACAGGTTCTCTCTGTGTTGCTCAACCTGATTTTGAACTCCTGGCTTCAAGCAATCCTCCTGCCTCAAGTTTCCCAAAGGTGTAGGATTACAGGCATGAGCCACTCTGTGCCTGCTGCCCGTCCCCATCTAACCTTCACAACACTTTTAGGCACAGAATAGGTGATTTATTTTCTTGATGGTATTGAGGCATAAAGAGATTAAATGACTTATCTGGCTTATGTGACAAGAACTTGGCAATGGTCTTACCTCAACTGTGAGACTACATTGAGATTGCTATTCAGAAACTTAGTTGTTGATTTTTTTTTTTTTTTGAGACTGAGTTTCATTATGCCACCCTTGATAAAGTATTATGATGTCAGAGCTCACAGCAACCTCCAACTCTTGGGCTTAAGCGATTCTGTTGCCTCAGCCTCCCAAGTAGCTGGGACTATAGGCGCCCACCACAATGCCTGGCTGTTTTTTTGTTGCAGTTGTTCTTATTATTTAGCTGGTCTGGTCTGGGTTCAAACCTGCCAGCCTTGGTGTATGTGGCCGACACCGTAACCATTGTGCTATGGGCGCCGAGCCTAGTTGTTAAGATTTTAAGAAAGAACTCAACTCAAACTAACTTAAGTGAGAGTAAATTTATTGACTTGTGAAATTAAAACATTTTAGAGATAGGGATGACTTAAAGCATAGCTTTAAGAAGTGATATAATCAACATTTCTCTTGCTCACTCCATTTTTTGTTTCTATTTCCACTGGCTTGATTCCATTGTGCAATAGCACATCTAGCTTTATGTACCTACAATTTCAAGTTTGGTGGACAGTGCCTCTTTTGGCAGTCCTGGGAAAATCCTGAGATTCAGTCTCATTGGACCAGGCCCACCTCTGAATCATTCAGTGGCCAAGGATGCAAAGGTTATTGATTTGTCATCAACACTGTCCTGGGAGTGAGGTTAGCAGTAGTTTACTTCCAAGACTGCTTAGAAGAGGGAGTATCCCTGAATGAAAATTGGAAGGTATTGCAAGGAAGAATGAATTCTGGGAGGAAATGTCTACTGCAGGCAATATAGCTTTTAAATTATAGTAATTTTGGTGATCATCCATAGTATTGTCTACCTCTTGTAATAGTAAGATTTGATATTCTGTACATTTAGTCTGGGAAGGTTTTTAAATGTCGTTTATTTTTGAGCATATCTGCCTTATTGTAGATTCTACTAAATTCTTACTTTCTATTCAAAATTGGTCTTTTTGTATTCCATAAAACTCTAATATTGGAATCCTAGGGAGAAAAGCCAAAGAAAACATCCTTGAAGATTGTACAGACTAATTTCTTCCTACTCATGGGAAAAAAATTAAATCCAAAGTCACATATCAAGTCAGAAATGGTGTTGGCATCAACCCAGGTTTTAATAAGTTCTGCGTTCTTTCTGTAATACACTTCTGTCTCTCGTTAAAATTTTTAAAAGGCCAAGCTCCATGGCTCATGCCTGTAATCCTAGCACTCTGAGAGGCCAGGGCTAGAGGATTGCTTTCAGGAGTTCCAGACTTGCTTGAGCAAGAACAAGACTCCTGTCTCTAATAAAAATAGAAAAAATTAGCTGGGTATGGTGATGCATGTTGTAGTCCCAGCTGCTTGAGAGGCTGAGGCAGGAGGAGCATTCAAATCCAGGCATTGGAGGTTGCTGTGAGCTAGGCTGATGCCACAGCAGTCTAGACTGGGAAACAGGTTGAGGTTCTGTTCTCCACTCCTCTAAAAAAAAAAAAAATTGAAATTTTTTGCTTTATTTCAAAGTAGGAGAAAGAAACATTGATTACTGACTCTATAATGGTATTTAGACTTTTCAAATGGTCCGTAAACATTTTTGCTTGCCTTATACTTTATGTATAAAAATGTTATAGTAGCTAGGTTTGCAAATACTTGTCTTCTTAGCAGTACTTGTTTAATATTTAAAATGTTTCTACAATGAGTTTTAATAGGAATTAGAGCATCATAGATAGAATGCTCTTGCCATCATAAACATTTGTAATATTTATTCCATTTTGATCAACTAAGATTTTGATAACTTTTAGAAACCATAATGTTAAGTTGTAACAGTAGCTATCTTCTATAGTGAATGACAGCTACCAACATAAAAAGAATTTCATGTAACATTTCGTGGCTGTTTCATTAATAAAAGAGTTTCAAAATTTTGCTTTTAGATTTTAGTGACATTTTATAAATGTGTAATACATTTATACATGATTTGACATTTGTGAAAATATTTTCCTAGGCTTTTATTTTAGGTGAGATCTACAGTGTAGGCAAACTTCCATCATCTGCCAACTCCACTAACGTAATGAAACTCATCTGCTCATGCTAGAATTATGGTGGTTAAAATTTGCTTTTGTAAGTGGTTGCATTTGGTCACTGTCACCAAGTCTTCAAGAGATTACACTGTAGGTGTTGGTTTTTATAATGTAAATGACAGTTTTTCTGTGCAAAGTTACTATAATTCAAATCTTTCTTTTGTTAATATATCAGTATGTGACAAGTATGTTTATAAAACAGGAAAAAAGAATTTAAACAGATTTTGTTTGTGGCTTTTACTGAATTGTTATCTGGATAAATTAACTTTCTTCTTTTTTGGTTTTGAGGTGAAGATAATTTTAGTCTGGGGATCAAACATAAATAGCATACATATGGAACTGTAATGAGTGTCATGAATGTGATGCTTTACATTATTTTTTCTCTCTTAATGATTATAATATATATTTGTTGTAAAAATTTGGGAAATACAGAAATACATAATGAAAAAAGAATGTTTCTTAGTAAAAGATAAAAGATTTATACAATCTGAAGAGAAACCGGAGTATGAGAATATGTTTCCTAGAATAACATTTTGTTTTCAGCATTGCAAACCAATGGAAACATTGAAAGTTATATAAACATGAGAGTTGAGTAAAGAATGTTCTTTGCTATTGGTCAGAAAATGAGATGCTGTTGTTGTCACTGTTTCCTTACTTTCTTTTTTTTTTTTGGAGACAGAATCTCCCTGAATAGCTAGCTGTAGGTATGCTCACCACCATGCCTGGCTAACTTGTTCTTTTTTTGGCAGAGACAGAGGTCTTGCTCTTGCTCAGGTTGGTCCAACTCCAGAGCTCAAGTCAACCTCCTGCCTCACCTCCCAAAGTGCAAGGATTATAGGCATGAGCTACCATGCCCAGCCGTTTTCATCTTTAGTTTGCTAACTTGTTTCTAGTGGAAAATATAAGGCATGATGATCTTGAGGCCTTTTGAAATTTTCTTTTAATTTTTTATATGATTCCTTCAATATTTGGTATTAGTGATTTAATTATGTCAATTAGATAACATTGGTGGGATTTTTTTAACTTAAAGAAGGAAAAGCAATATAGGTAGTCATAATAAAATACTCATCTAATACCTGTATATCTTGCTTGAGCTCAAGACCTATATTTTTAATTGCCTGTAGTGTTTTCATTATGATTTCATAATCCTCCCCTGACCTCTGTCCTTTATCTCGCTTTCTTAGGTAGAAACTTGAGATTTTTCTTTCTCTTTATTCTTCTGTCTGTGAAATGTCTCTTGAATGCATTCCTGCCTTCCCATCTTTGTTATCTAATTAACTTTCTCATTCTTCAAATAACCTTACACATCATTTCTTTTTTGCCTAAAGCCTTTCCCAGCCTTATCTCAGAAACCCATACTCAAGTCTTACTTAAGAGC